CCCCCCAGCTCTGAGCGAGTCAGGCTTCTACAGCTGATATTTCCCCATCCCCAAAAAGGATGGCGGCCTAAGGCCCAACCTCGATCTCAGGCATCTGAACCACGCCCCCATAAGATGGCCGTTCAGGATGATTACACTGAAGTAGATCCTCTCGCAAGTGTGCCCAGGGGACTGGTTCTTTTCACTGGATCTGAAAGATGCCTACTTTCACATCCAGACTGCCCCTCGCCACAGGCAATTCTTGAGATTTGCCTTCGAGGGAGTGGCATATCAATACACGGTCCTTCCCTTCGGACTGTCCCTAGCTCATCACACTTTTACGAAGTGCATGGATGCAGCTCTTTCCTCACTGAGACAGATGGGAATCCGCATTCTGAATTATCTCGACGACTGGCTCAACCTGGCCCAGTCAGAGAACAAGCTATTATCTCACAGATCCTTCCTCCTCAGCCACATAGAGTGCCTGGGACTCAGGGTCAATCTTGCCAAGAGCGCGCTGTCCCCCAGCCAACGGATATAGTTCCTGGGAACAGTTCTCGACGCAGCCCGAATGAGGACGGTAGTCGCGCCAGATCGTGCACTGGCTATTCAGCAGCTCGCGGCCTCATTCAAAGTTGGAGCCCTTCGCCCTCTCAAGGCATTTCAGAAGATGTTGGGCCTCATGGCCTCTGCGTCTCCAGTACTTCAGTTGAGCCCCCTTCAGTACCGGCTGAAACCACGAGTTCTGTCCCATGCCTGGCATCATGGACATATGCGTGTCAAGGTGAACCAGGCCTGCGTAGCAGCTCTGGCCCCTTGGAAAGACTCTCAGTGGATGGAATGGGGCGTGCCCCTGGGAATGGTCTGCAGAAGGAAGGTGGTCTCGACAGACGCTTCCAACACGGGTTGGGGAGCTCTGTGCAATGGCAAACCAGCTTTCGGCCATTGGTCAAAAGAGAAGAGTCGGCTTCACATCAACTGCCTGGAAATGCTGGCAGTATGTTTGGGCTTTCACACCTTTCTGCCAGACCTAACGGGACACCACATGCTAGTCCACTCAGACAGCATGACAGTGGTGTCGTATATAAATCGCCAGGGCGGTCTCTCCTCGAAGCACCTCTTCATTCTGGTAGAGCGCCTCCTGGAATGGGCTCAGCTCAACTTGCGTTCGCTAAGGGCAGCGCATGTGCCGTGCAGGTTGAACCAAGGAGCAGACCTGCTATCTCGGAGCAACGTCCCCTCAGAAGAGTGGATGCTCCACCCACATACAGTTAAAAAAATCTGGGAGATCTTCGGCAAGGCAGAGGTCGACCACTTCTCAGAAGACAACTCTCACTGCCCAATTTACTTTTCGAAGGACAGGGATGTGTTGGCCCACGACTGGCCCAACCTCCTCCTTTACGCTTTTCCCCTGATCGCCCTGATCCCACAGGTAATCAGGCGAATCAGGGAACAGAAACACAAGGTTCTGTTGGTGGCTCCGCTCTGGAGGAACCAACACTGGTTCGCAGAGCTGTCTCGGCTGCTCTCAGAAGCCCTGTGGCCCATTCCCCTGTGACGAGACCTCCTCTCTCAGGAGAACATAACGATATGGCACCCCCAGCCCAAGCTGTGGGCTCTGCTCCTCTGGCCTCTCGATGAGAGCCTGCAGACCTCCCAGAGAGCATGCTAAACAATATCTCAGGCTAGAGCACCCTCTACAAGGCGGCTATATGCCCTTAAATGGTCTGTCTTCTCCGCCTGGTGTATGGCCCAATCGCAGACCCAATTTCCTGCGACATATCTCTGATATTGTCCTTCCTGCAGGAGCTGTTGGATAAGGGTCGCTCCCCTTCCAAGCTCAAGGTCTATGTAGCAGCCATAGCAGCCTCACACGCTCCTATAGCTGGCCAGTCGGTGGGCAGGAACAACCTAGTTGTTCGCTTTTTGAAAGGGTCTAGGAGGCTCAACCCGCCTCGCCCTGTCACCGTCCCTACATGGGACCTGCCCACGGTGTTGAGGGCTCTGAAGAGCCCTCCTTTCGAGCCGCTACTGTCCGTTGACCTTTGTCCCCTGATGCTAAAGACCGCTCTGCTACTGGCGTTAGCATCGGTAAAGCGTATGGGAGATCTGCAGGTGCTCTCGGTGAGCCCCACCTGCCTCGAATTCGGCCCCAACGACTCCAAGGTTGTCATGAAGCCAAGGCATGGTTATGTACCTGAAGTGCTCTCGACTCCGTTCAGAGCGCAGGTAATAGCTCTTTCGGCGCTTCTTCCTTCAGAGCAGAACCAAGAGCTGAATTTACTCTGCCCCGTCAGGGCATTGAGAATACATATTGAGCATTCCGCCCCATTCAGGCAGTCGGATCAGCTTTTTGTATGACCAGAGGGTCTCCGGTCACGAAGCAGAGACTTTCCAAATGGATAATTGACGTTATCAAGTTAGCGTACTCTTCTTTGGTCCTACAATGCCCCATGGGAGTAACAGCCCACTCAACAAGAGGCGTTGCCTCTTCCTGGGCTTGGTCTAGCGGAGTGTCCATTGCAGAAATTTGCGTGGCGGCTGGCTGGGCCTCGCCATCCACATTTACCAGGTTTTATAATCTGGATGTTCCGGCTTTACAGGCTCGGGTCCTTTCAGCTTAAACAGACTTACTCTGGCCTTATGGCAAAACCAGTGCTTCAGGCGTTTGCCTTCTTCACTGTACGCTCTTGGCCCCCACTGGGTTCTGAGGCTGTACAATTTATCTTGGAACAATTACTCAGCGCCGGGTCGACCTCTATGAGTTTGGCTCCTGTGGGGCTTCCCTGCAAAATACTTGGTCCCTCTGGCAGGGCTGTACAGTGCGACATATATGCTTTTGAAGAAATATCGTTGTATCGTGCTACAGCGCACATTCTATCGGCTGCAGTTCTGGCGCCTCCCTCCGTCTCAATAAAATGTACCACGCCATAAGCCACATGCATTCACATCAGTGTTAGCTCAGTGGTAGAGTTACTCTCACGGGACACTGCACTTATGCGCAATCACAAAACTACATTATTTCTATCTGCTTTAAAGCAATACCGGTTAAACATTAAATTCACGTGCTGTTCTGCATGTGCTTTATCCGAGCGCGTACTCATGAAGCGCCCTCACACTGAGAGCATGTCAAAAAGTGCCTGATTATTGGACTAAGTTGTCTTTCGCGTCTGATTGATTTCGCGTCTAATACTGTCAAAAACACACAAGGTTTACATATAAACACAGTTGGTTATGTCTAAAATGAAAGTAAACAGTTGAGAGAGAAACGCGTGCAGCTCTTAAAGGGACAGTAGCTACTAAACATGCTGCCGACTGTCATTAAAGGGATAGTTCACCCAAAAAATTAAATTTCTGTCATTATTTACTCACTCACATTTTGTCCCAAACCTGTATTAATTTCTTTCTTGTGCTGAACACAAAAGAAGATATTTTGAAGAATGTGAGTAACCAAACAGTAGCTGGTCCACACTGACTTTTACAGTAGGAAAAAAA